TTTTTCAAAGAAATGGAACAAATAATCCTAAAATTTATATGGAACCAGAAAAGACCTCGAATAGCCAAAGCAATATTGAAAAAGAAAGCCAAAGTTGGTGGCATCACAATTCCGGACTTCAAGCTCTATTACAAAGCTGTCATCATCAAGACAGCATGGTACTGGCACAAAAACAGACACATAGATCAATGGAACAGAATAGAGAGCCCAGAAATAGACCCTCAACTCTATGGTCAACTAATCTTCGACAAAGCAGGAAAGAATATCCAATGGAAAAAAGACAGCCTCTTCAACAAATGGTGTTGGGAAAATTGGACAGCCACATGCAGAAAAATGAAATTGGATCATTTCCTTACACCACACACGAGAATAGACTCAAAATGGATGAAGGATCTCAATGTGAGAAAGGAATCCATCAAAATCCTTGAGGAGAACACAGCCAGCAACCTCTTCGACCTCAGCCGCAGCAACATCTTCCTAGGAACATCGCCAAACGCAAGGGAAGCAAGGGCAAAAATGAACTATTGGGATTTTATCAAGATCAAAAGCTTTTGCACAGCAAAGGAAACAGTGAACAAAACCAAAAGACAACTGACAGAATGGGAGAAGATATTTGCAAACGACATATCAGATAAAGGGCTAGTGTCCAAAATCTATAAAGAACTTAGCAAACTCAACACCCAAAGAACAAATAATCCAATCAAGAAATGGGCAGAGGACATGAACAGACATTTCTGCAAAGAAGACATCCAGATGGCCAAGAGACACATGAAAAAGTGCTCCACATCACTCGGCATCAGGGAAATACAAATCAAAACCACAATGAGATACCACCTCACACCAGTCAGAATGGCTAAAATTAACAAGTCAGGAAATGACAGATGCTGGTGAGGATGCGGAGAAAGGGGAACCTTCCTACACTGTTGGTGGGAATGCAAGCTGGTGCAGCCACTCTGGAAAACAGCATGGAGGTTCCTCAAAATGTTGAAAATAGAACTACCCTATGACCCAGCAATTGCACTGCTGGGTATTTACCCTAAAAATACAAACGTAGTGATCCGAAGGGGCACGTGCACCCGAATGTTTATAGCAGCAATGTCTACAATAGCCAAACTATGGAAAGAACCTAGATGTCCATCAACAGACGAATGGATAAAGAAGATGTGGTATATATACACAATGGAATACTATGCAGCCATCAAAAGAAATGAAATCTTGCCATTTGCGACGACGTGGATGGAACTAGAGGGTATCATGCTTAGCAAAATAAGTCAATCGGAGAAAGACAACTATCATATGATCTCCCTGATATGAGGGAGAGGAGATGCAACATGGGGGGTTAAGGGGGTAGGAGAAGAGTAAATGAAACAAGATGGGATTGGGAGGGAGACAAACCATAAGTGACTCTTAATCTCACAAAACAAACTGAGGGTTAATGTGGGGAGGGGGGTTGGGGGGGGATTATGGACATTGGGAGGGTATGTGCTATGGTGAGTGCTGTGAAGTGTGTAAACCTGGCGATTCACAGACCTGTACCCCTGGGGATAAAAATATATGTTTAAAAAAAAAAAAAACCTATCACTAAAAAAAAAAAAAAAAAAAAAGAAGTGCAAAGATGGGTATCCATGCCTTGTTCCTGATCCTGGAAGGGAAATATTCGATATTTCCCCCTGGAACTTTCTTGTAGATACCTGTATTCATTTCGTGTAGCTGTTGCACCACAAACTCGGTGGCTTAAAGCAACACAAATATGTTATCTTACAATTCTGAATTCAGAAGTCTGGAATTAATCTTACAGAACTCCTTCCAGAAGCTCCAGGGGAGAATCTGCTTCCTTGCAGTTTCCAGCTTAGAGGCTCACGCGTCCTTGGCTCCCAGCCCCTCTCTGGCTCCAAGCCAGCAGCACAACCTGCCCAGTTTCCGTGATGTCACTCCAACCTCCACTTCTGTCGTCACACCTACTCCTCCTGCTTCTGGCCCTCCTGCCTCCATCTTAGTAGGACCCTTGTGATTACATCAGGCCCCTCTGTCTAATCCAGGACCATCTCCCGTCTCGAAGTCCTTCATCCCATCTGCAAAATCCCCTCTACCATATAAAGGAATCTAGTCACAGGTTTGGGGTTTAGGGCGTGGACATCTCTGGGGGCCATTACTGAGCTCACCATGCTTTCCCTTATCAGATTGGGAAGTTTCTTCCTCTTCCTAGGTTGCTATGACTATGATTTAAAATCAGTTTAGAATTGTATCAAACACTTTCACTGCATCCCTTGAAAAGGTCATATCATTTTCTCCCTCATTCTGATAATGGGGTGTATTCTGTGAAACCATATGAAAAAAACCATAATGGTGTGTATTATGTGACACTAAATGTGAAACCGACTTGGCATTTGTGGAATCATCTGCTTCAAATGACTGCCAGTCTGGGTTGTAGGCTCATCTTCCCATTAACATATTTCCACTTGGAAACATTTCCCACTCCCCAGACTGCACAAGCAATTCCTGTTTTCAGAAGCCAGTCTCCACGCTGCTACTACAGGTTGAGCAGCTCACCTTTACCTCTCTGTCCCTCTGTTCCTCCTCACCAGGAGTAACGATATTTCCCACCTCAGGGTTGTTACAAACATTCAGTCAGGTGAAGTCTGGCCATGGTTAAGTGCTCCGTGCTGGCTAACTAGCATAATTAATGACTTCATGGGGCTGTGGGACATGCAGCCCATGCATGCTACTGCCCCACAATCTGGGTACGTCAAGACTCTAACTTTTCCCTGCCTCTCTCGTCCATGCTCAGTCCTCACTATTCTGAATTTAGGACCCCTGCCTGGGGTTGCTGGAGGAGCACAGGGAGTGAGAGAGAGTGGGATGAGGACATGCGGAGGGGCGAGCTGCAGTGGTTCTGTCCAGGTCCCTCGTGCCCCCATTGCTGCACTCAGAGCCGTCACTTCCCTGATACCTTCCTCCCCCCAGGCCGGCCTACTTGGACCATACACCCCCACTTTACCCCATCCCCGCCACGTTCCCTCTTCCAACCCTCCCTGGCAACTCCCGCCCACCGCCCCCCACCCAGAGTCATCCCTTCTTGTCCAGAGCTGTGTGCATTCTCTGAATGTGTGTTACATCATTTCTGGGGACTGGGGTTGGCTTGGTAGGGGAGGCAAGCCATGTGCCCGGTGCACCATCCACACCTGCCTCCCCAGCCTCCCAATTCAGACAGAAAGGCCCTGAAGTCTCTTCCAGAGCGCCTCTAGCAGCCACAAAATCCGTGTGTAAAAGAAAGTCGTGATTAGGTGTGGGACGAGTGTCCACGCTCCAAACCCACACAAGCCCATCCCACTTCTGTCCCTCCTCTCTGCAGGTCCCTGATGGCCCTGGGGCCGGCACCGCCCCTGTAACCTCTCCCTGTCTTGGGCCGCCCCCTCCTGCATTCTCCCGTCTCCAGAAGCCAGGCTAAGACCTACCAGAGGCTGCTGCGGGCTTCGTCCCCTTAGCGGGGCCTAGGAGCTGGTCATCTTTCTTTACTCCTCTCACTCAGATTTGTAAACTATTTTGACAGGATTTCATTCTTAGAGAAAATTTGAAAGAATAGTACAAAGATGTTGTGGACTTGGAGCTTTTCTGCCCCCTCCATACGATGGGTGCAGGCGAAGACCCTGGGGGAGCCGTCTAAGTGACTGCTGGGGTCGCACTGGCCAGAGAAGACCGCGCCTCTCGCTTCTGCTCTGGTCCACTCGGATGGCCTGAGCAGGATGGAGTCGGCCAGCTTCTCCACTTTCACTCATTCATAAGTTCAGCTCTCATGCGGAGGTATTTTGAGACCCTCAGAGCATTACTTCGAATCCCCTTCACAGTCTCTTCTTGCTGGTGAGGGTGTAAAATGGGACAAACCTCCAGAAAGGCAGGTCGGCATAAGGTTCTGAAGCTTGGGAATGCTCACAGCCCCTGGCCCCTGTTCCCCCTTCAGAAAGTCAGTTGCCAAGAGCCAGCCTGTGGTGGCACACCAGTGCCCGAGGCGGCATGTGGCTGCCACTCTTGGTCCCCCGACATGCCCTGGTTAAGTCCTGCCTTACTGCACCCCTTTGTACTTGCATACAAGGCTCTCACCGAATTAGTAATTTCCCAGGCATTTGCTGAAGGTGAAATGTTTTTTTTTTTAAAGATGTGAAATTATTAAAAATAGGTGTTAGAAATTACTAGAAGCAATACCCCCAGAATGTCACCCACAGTTTTTTCAAAGTGGAGGAGTTATTTTGTTCTCATACTCTTTTACTTCTAAGAATTTTTTGTTTTGTTTTGTTTGGTCTTACAAGGAACCCTTTTTCCTCTAAATCGAGGATAAGGGGAGAAAGCATCCATATTTTGAAGCCCTTAGTTTGGTGCCTCTTGGGTTCTGTCCCTGCTGAGCTGAGCAGCAGGAACCTCTCCCTCACCCACAGGAGTAGGAGAGCAGCAGAGCTGGGGTCCTTGGCAGCTCCCATCTCCCAAATTCCTGCCCTGCCCTCCACCCCCCAGGCCTCTGGTGCTTTGCCTCACTCGCCCACAAACTCAGCCTTCCCCTGGGAAGCTCCTGGAGAATCCTGCAGACAGGGTATGTTCACCTGGTGTCCCACTGCCACTCTGCAGGCAGGTGCCTCTGTTTTGGAGCTGGCCAACCTCCTGCCAGCTGGCCCCATCAATTCCCGCCTCTTGCTTCTCTCCTCTATGGAATGGGGGTTCCTGAGACTTTAATTTAGAGGGGCCAGACGTCTGAGACACAGATTGTGCTGGGTTCACCAGGTCTCTTTCAGATGCCCATGTCCAACTAGGTTAAACCAGACAGGTGGGTTTATGGAGTTGGAAGGTCCAGGGTTGGACTTCAGGCACTGCCAGATCCAAGAGAACATTTGCCACTAGCTTGTGCTTTCAAGTTCCTCGTGCTGGGCTGGGGGGACACCAGGACTCCTGAGACACAGGCCACCATTTGGAAGAGCCAGCTCATCTCTCCAATGAAGTATCTCTCTCCCCAGTGTCCACGATTGCTCCTGACCGTTCCACAAATCCTTTCCACATGTCTGGAGATGTGGATTTCTTCTTGCTCAGAGAACAGGAGCGAAATAAGTCTCGCGCAGTGAGTATCTAGGATTGATTGCCCTTCTCAGAAGAATGCTTTATTTTATTTATTTAGAGAAAGCACAAGTCAGGGGGGCAGATGGAGAAGGAGAGAAAGAATCTCCAGCAGACTCCAAGTTGAGCACAAAGCCTGATGACCCTGAGATCATGACCTGAGCTGAGATCAAGAGTTGGATGCTTAACCAACTGAGATGCCCAGGCACCCCAGTGGCTCACCATTTTAAAAAAATCATTTCAAAAGCCTGACTAGCTCTCCAGTCTCTGACCTGTCCCACTGTTCTCACACGGTTTTATCACTACTGTTCCTGGGCCTTGTCCAAGTGGGCTGTTAGAAGCTGCTGGGGACTAGCCTCAACCATGAGGCTTTACTTCTGCTTCCCTTGCACCAGAGGTCATCAGCTCCTGAGACTCTCCCTGTCCTGCAAGACCTATCTCAGACCTCAGGGACCCTCACACCTCCCCCAGGAGACCACCACCCTCCCAACTGCTCCAGCCTTGCATAATCCCCCTCTCTGGAATTCTTGGAAGCCAGATACACACACACACAACAAGCACACAGGTGCACACACACAGATACGCATGCCCCTCGGCAGTACCTGGGAGTCCTGGAGCCGGCCCCAACCCCCAGCCCCTGCCTTGTCTGTACCTCAGCATAGTCTGTCTTGCCTCCCCATCCAAGAGCCCCTTGTCCATTCTCACCCCCTGTGGCATGCAAGCAGCCCTGCAGCCAGGCTCGGGGAGGACTTACCTGGGGCATCTCCACTGAGAAGTGGTCAGCATGGGCCGTGTTTCTGGGACACACTCTCGGGGGCATGGGCATGGCCAGTGTTCCAGGCTCCCTCCTGGGCTGACTCTGTCTGCCCCAACTCAGGGTTCAGTATCTGAGATTCCTTGGACAAGTGGCTCCCACTGAGACCCAACCAGTGACCAAAGATACATCAGGAAATGCACATTTTCCAGCCCCACTCCAGACCCCAGGGATCTTGAGTTTCTTTTGGAAGCTCAGATCTAGTTTCCCTGAACCTTGGAGGGTCAGATTTAGCAGATCACAGTAAGTGTGAATTTCAGATGAAAGAGGAATTATCTGTTAGTGAGTATGTCCCTGCACTACTGAATGCCATCTAACTGGGCAAACTGTACTTCCCCCGGGAACCCCGTCTTCACCCTGCTCTCTGAAAATGCTCCCTGCCCACTTTCCTCTCAACCCGAGAGCTGTGTTCAAGGCATCCCAGGTGCTTCCACAGGCACACACAGCTCCACAGCCTTCCTGTGCAGCGACGGCACATGCAGGACCCCTCTCTCGGACCTTGGTGGCCCAGGCAACATGCTGAGGGGAGGAGGCTTGTCCTAGGCTTGGTGGGGGAGGGTGTAGAAATAGATGCTGGCCCCGCCCAACTTCACCTGGCCCCGCCTGCCAGGAGCGGGAGCAGAAGACGACCCTGCAGGTGCACGAGAAGATGACCTACTCTTCCAAAGTGTTGGCCAAGCACACCAGCCTGCGTCGGGAGCTGCAGCTGGAGGATGAGATGCAAGACCAGGAGACGCGCGCCGAGGCAGAGCGGCTGCGTGCCTTCCACGACCACACAGCGTGGAAGCTCTGCATGACCAAAGGTGCCCCCTTTTTCTGGAGTCAGGTCTTGCCCTTCATGCTTTTAAAGTGCTTGAAGAGGCGGGGCTGTGGTGCAATGGGGAATGTGGGGGTCTTCATGTCTGACCCTGCCTCCCACTGCCACACACATCAGTTCCAGATGGACTACAAATTTAAAAGCCTTTGAATCCCAATATTGCCTGCATTTGGAATGTTACCGTGCACATGAATGCAGATTGCACACATATAAAATATAGTCCCTTAACTTGATGGTAAAGAGAGTCTGTGTGGCATGAAGTTCCCTGAGTTCAGATCTCAGTTTCAGCATTGAATGACCTTGCTATCCTGGGCAGGCTCTTCAACTCCTTTGCACAGCAGTTTCCCCTCCTGGCCAGTGACACTGCCGACCTCGTGGGTTGTATGATCCAACGTCTTTAGATGCTACATATAATTAGAAGGAACTGTATGTGCGTGCGTGTGTGTGTGTGTATGTGTGTGTGTGAGCTCTTATTAGTTTTCTGACCCAGTAGGAAATCTTGAGTGCAGAATATGCATTAATATTCTACCAGCCCAGACAATAAAATCCTGGAACCCAGCTGGACTGCAGGTGTACTGAATGGGAATATTAATTAAAAAGACACCCAGCCTCCACGCCTGGCCCCATGGCTTATTTTGGGGTGGAGAGCCCCGAGCTCACTCTGACACTTTCGTGCCCAGTTCTGTGTGAGCAGGAACAGCAGCACTGCAAGGTTTTCATTTCTGTCTCCACCCTCTGTTTCTAAGATCTGGGAGAGGCAGGCTGTGTCTGGATGGGGAAGACTAGACTCAGCATGTTTAGGCACAAGACTTGTCCTTATCCCATATTTGACTTACAGTGGGGAGCTGGGTCTCCTTGAGGGAAAGGGTCTTCCCACAAGGTGGGCCAGGGAGACAGAGGCCAAGCTGGGTCTCTGCCAGGCTTCTAGACTTAAGACTCCCACACCACAGCATCTTCCAGAAAGGAGAGGGTTTAAGAGATAATGCAGAGAGCCACATGGTTCCATGGCCCTTTCCTCAGTTCCTGGCCTCTCCAAAGTCAGGGCGCTTCTAGGCCTTCCTTTCCAGAAAGACGAGAGAAGGAGGCTCCCATGGCCCTTAGCCCCAGCTACATTACCTCTCTGGTTGCCCTCCGGAAGGTGTTCCAGATACCCACCTTAATTTCCTCCCACCTGGCGGAAACCCTGGTGTGCTGACTTAGCTTCTACCGAAATTGGATCCTGGGGGCTTAGAGTTCCCCAAAAAGAGATCATGGTGCCCCATTTTTCTCTCACCACCCCGATGCAGGTCCTGACCTAATAGGACTTTCGTTATTAGATCCCGTTGGATGAAATGTCCATGGGGGGGGGGGGTGTCCAGAGTCTTACTCCAGGTGAGAAGAGTACTACAGCAAGAGAGGCTCGAGTCAGACATAGGAAAGGACTCCCCTCCTGGCCCAGTCTCCAGCCATGCAGAGTGCAATTCATAAACAGAGCCTTCTTTCCTTTTGCTAGAGGCAGGGCTCAATCTCCCAGAGTCCCTGTAATAACCTGGGCCTCCTAGCACAGCAGATGGGATTGGCCCAGCTCGGGTCTCTCTCGCGCTGCCCACCCCGCCCCCCAGAGGCTTTCCTCCTATCTTTGCAGAAAGGAAGATGGAATCTGATAACATGAACATCTACATTAACCAGAAGCGGCAGATATTCCTCATCCAGGTTGGCCCACCTACAATGCGCAGGGGGTCCAGGGAGGGGGCTCTCCCAGCCAGGAGCCTGACTCCCGCTCCGGTGGCCCTCAGTACGCCCTGGACATGAAGCGGAAGGAGATCCAGCGGCTGGAGATGCTGGCGGCCAAGGAGGAGGCGGAGCTGGAGCAGGCAGAGAAGTCCCTGGAGAAGGACGCAGCCTTGTTCGACGAGTTTCTCCGGGAGAACGACCGCAGCTCTGTTCAGGCCCTGAGAGCGTGAGCCCCCCGCGGAGGGGCAGCCCGCGCGCCCCAACCCCGTGCCCCCTGGAACTCTGCACCTGCGCCCAACCTGCCTGCATCCGCCCAGCCGCCCAAGGGGCCCCAGGAGGCTCCTCACCCCACCCCCACTCCCCCAAGGCAGTGTACACGCCCCCTTTAACAGTCTGCGGTTGGCTCCCTGCCCCCACCCCCATCCCCACCCCCAGGGCTGAAAAGGAGACCAAAGCAAAAGTGGAGAAGATCATTGAGATCCGTGAACTGACCACCCAGATCATGAACATCAAAAGGTGAGCTAAAGGAGAGAGCCTGCCCATCCTGGTCTGCTGCCTTTCCCTCCGCCCCTCCCAGGGCCAAAAGGAGCCCCCCCCCCCCCCGTGCAGCACAGACCTCATGACTTCACCTCCCAGACTTACTAAATAGCTTAGGGACTCATAAGTTAGGGACTCAAAGCCTGCCAGATGCAGCTGCACATTTTACGGATGAGGTGACAGAGGCCAAGAAAAGATTCAGTGACTTTGCCAAAGCCTCACTAGGAGGCAGGGTTCACTTGGCACACAGGGTCGCCAGGGTCCACGGCCACTCCAAAGTCACAGACCACTGTCACTGTGGAGGTCTGAGCCCCATTGGTCCCCAGTACTGCAGTGCTGCCATGCCTGTCCCCAGGAGAACAAGGAGCATGCCAGGCTTGGCCAGGCGTGGCCAGGCTTCAGGGGCAGTCCCCTCTGGAGGGGTGTCCCAGTAGGCAGAGCCTGACCTCACCACCCTTTCCCGGGTCTAGTGACATCTCCAAATTTGAAGACACTTTGCAGCATTACAAGATCTACAAGGACTTCCTATACAAGCTGTCGCCTAAGGAGTGGTTGGAAGAAAAGGAGAAGAAGCACCAGGATCTCAAAAAGACCAAGGAGGCCCCCGAGCCCCCCAAAGAGAACATTTCATTCTCCACAGGAGGGGACAAAGGTAGCAGAAAAGAGACAGCCAGTCCCTGGGTCCATCTAGGGCATGGAGACCCACAGGCTGGGCCCCTTCCATGCTTCACAAAGCCCCAGCCAGAGGCAGTAAGTGCCCTTTGGGGCCTGGTGGCTCAGCTCACACATCCAGTTGAGGAAGATAGAGCCTGCTCTAACTCAGACCCCAGGCACGTTCCTCCCATGCATATCTTTCTGAAACTGAGGGGAAGAGGGCTGGGAGGATCCTGGGGGCCCTGTGCCCTCAAGCAGTGTTGCTGAAATTCTGGCTCCAGCAGAAGCCATCTGGAACCCTCCCTTGCTTCCTGTAGGACCAGGGAACAAGGGCAAAACAAGCTCTAGAGGTATGTGGCTGCCCCAAGCTGGAAGAGTCTTGCCCTGGACTGGGGTATGTGGAAACCATTCCTCTGCTTCCTCCAGATGGGCAGGGCCCAAAGAAACCCTCGAAGTCCCTGCCGGTGACCCGGCTGAGGCGGCTTCTATCCAGCTCCATGAGCCTCCAGTACAGCAGACAGCCCAGCCTGAACAGTGAGCTGGACCCCAAAGGGTGAGTGGGCCTCGGGTAGGGCAGGGAAGTGGCTGGGGCCTGGTGGGGAGTGCTCTGCAGTGGCTCTGGGCTAGGGGTGCCCAGGATGAGCCCAGACTCTCTGGGAAGGGCGAGACCATGAGGAAGGGCTGTTCCCAACACAGAAGCTGTGTAGTCAGACTTAAGCACTAAAATCAAAATGTTTTCTGAAAAGTTTTATTTCTGTCTGGTTCGATCAACTTATGCCTGAGGTGGCCCACTCAGGTGTTAATGGGACAGTCAGGTATAAACGGTGCAGGAAGCCAAATTGGGCACAGTGAACGGAAGACATATGCCCCCTGCCAGCCCTCGGTGGCCAGGGAGTGCTGGCCAAGGAGGTCAGAGCTCCGGAGCCTTTCACGAAAAACCAGAGTCTGGATTTTTACTAAAATTACCCAGATTTAAGTGTGACACTTACTTTGGACAAACAGAAGCCTCAAACACATCCGCGAGTCAATGCAGACCTATCCCTACCCCACTTAAAAACCTCTCTGCTTCTAAGGCCAGAGCCATACCCCCCCCACCTCCCACTGCTGCTGGGTCACCCCCCAGGTACTCTTCCTCCCTCACTGAAAATTTGTTTAGTTTTAGGAGTTTGCTAAGTGATACATTCAGAAAAATCACAATCGTATAGAAAGGTATCAGTTGAGAAGTCTTAGCCTCCTGCCCCCAGCCCCAGGCTTGGCACACCTCCTTCCAGCCCCCTCCCCACCCAGACTGTTGGGCCAAGAAGCCACAGATGGCACTGCAGCGAGATTGGTTATCTACAGGATATCCTACCAACCATTTGTTTTTTTTAAGATGTATTTATTTATTTGACAGAGAGAGCACGTGCGCGTGAATGGGGCGGGGAGGGCCACAGAGGGGGAGAGAGAGAATCCTAAGCAGACTCCCCACTGAGCCTGAGACCATGACCTGAGCAGAAATCACAAGTCTGACACTCAACCCACGGAGCCACCCAGGCACCCCTCTCCAGCCTTTTAATATTAACAGTACATTGAACCATAAGAAGTTGCTGTTCAGTAGCTCAAATGAATACCGGCATGTCCTCCTGATTCAACGTAAATACAAGCAAAGGTGATTTTCTTACGCCCGTCCTTCCTTTTACTGGAGAGCTGACCCTGTGTATCCTGCTGTCTGTCCATAAGCGGCACAGCCGGGGAGCGCTGGAGGTAGTCCTTCTCAGCTTCCCTTGTCTGTCTGGCCCTGGCCTCTTGGCGCTACTGGAGCGATATTAATATGTGATTATGGGGAGGGATGGCCTCAGATGGCTACCAGGTGCTCGCCTTTACAGGGCCAGGGGCCACTGCCAGGGTCTCACCTGTCTCGTGCAATCTGGACCATCCCCTCGGGCCAGCCTGGCAAGACTGGAGAGCCAAGGGGCGCCTGGGTGGCTCGGTGGGTTGGGGCCTCTGCCTTCGGCTCAGGTCATGATCCCAGCGTCCTGGGATCAAGCCCCGCATTGGGCTCTCTGCTCTGCGGGGAGCCTGCTTCCTCCTCTCTCTCTGCCTGCCTCTCTGCCTAGTTGTGATTTCTCTCTGTCAAATAAATAAAATATTAAAAAAAAAAAAAGACTGTAGAGCCAAGGCAGGTGGCTGGCAGGTGGAAACCCAGGGAAGAAGAGCTGCTGCTGCAGCATGATCTGAAGGCAGTAGGCTGGCAGAATTCCCTCTTCTTTGTGGGAGGTCAGTCTTTGTCTCTTCAGGCCTCAACTGATTGGACGAGGCCCACCCACACCATGAAGGGTCATCTACTTTACTCTAAATCTACTTATTTGTTCATCTCATCTAACAAACATCTTCACAGAAACATCTAGAATAATGTTGAACCTAGGCAAGTTGACACAAAATCCACCGTCCCAGGGCACAGGGGTAGGTCTACTGGTCATGCATAGTCATTCCAGTGTCTGACAGTTCTCTTAGTCATCCTGGATGCTCTAGCCGAAGGTCCTGCCTCCTCCTGGGATCAGGTTCCAACTCCAGTGACTCTTGCCCCTTAGCCTCTCCAGCACCATCTCTGGGACCACCAAGCACCTCTTACACATCCTGGATTTCTTCCTGCAGTGCCTGACCCCCCCACATATGCCCACCAGTGTTCTCCAGCCATGACCAGTGACCACAAGACAGACCTCCTGCCCCAGCCCCCGTGCCTCTCTCCCTGCTACTTGCCTCGTTGCTACTCCAGTCAGCAACCCCTAAGCCCCAGTGCCTCCTGGAGGGTACCCACATGACAGGCGAGAAAATGGGGTCACATGGAGCCAGATGTAATTGGCACCCTCAGGCCCAGAGCCTACAGGAGCCGGGAAGCTTCAGCAAACCAGTGATGTGATCAGACTTAAGTCTTTTATTCTTTTTCTCTCATACTTATGCTATGTCAACAGATCACAAAAAAACAAACAAACAAAAAAAAACAAAAAAAAAAACCTTAAGTGAACAACTCTTGAGTTCTTACACATATATGTACCTGTGTAATCACACTCAGGTCCAGACATAGAATATTCCCGGAGCCCAGAACTCCCTCAGGCCCTCCTCATTCAGACCCCACACCGGTACCTTCACACTATTTTGTCTTTGTTGCCCTGGGACACTCTCCCTGTTCTGAAACTCAGTGCACCGAGGACAGCAGCAGTGGGCTCTCGGGGCCGGTGTCCCTTCACTGAGTATCTGCACGGTTGTGTGCAGCGGCAGGTGGTTCTTGGCAGTTGCCGCTTAGTGTCCCACCTCATGAAGAAGCCCCACTCTTTGGGTCCTCTCTCCGACTGGTGGCCTTTTGCGTTGTTCCCAGTTCTTGGCTCTTCTCATTAACACTGCTGCCAACATTCCTGTACTTCTATGCATAAGCACTCTCTTTTGCGTGAGCACTATGTTGGTTGGAAGTAAGAGTGGGACTGCTGGGGCACAAGGTGAGTCAACGTTGAGCGTTAGCAGCTTCTGCCAAACAGACTCCTGCCGTGGCTGCCACATTTGCTGCTCCAGCCGGCACCCCCACGTCCCGCCCCACATCAGGTCAGATCCTGGGATCACGCTATTGTGGGTTCCCGTCTGTCTTGGTATTTTGGCAGGGTTGTTCAAAAATCATGTCCTAATAGAAAATGTGACGGTGGGTAAGACCAATACATCATGAGATGATGTCATTGAAAAGGTGGTTTTTACTCTGTTCTCATGAGGAGGGGGCACGCCACACAGCCTGGGGCTACAGGGGGAGGCAACCAGCTGGGTCCGGAGGAAGAGGGAGTGCGGGAGGTATGGGCAGGAGCCCTTCTTGTGGTTTCTGCAGGAAAGAGCAAGTGTGCAGGGTACGTGGATTTAGGATTGGTGGGCTTGATTAATTTCAGGGCTCTGGGGCCAAGGGGTGTCCTCGGTTATCTGGCCACCAGGGCAGGGGAATAGTGACCCCAGCTATGAGAGCTTGGTATTGGTTGGTTTGCCTCTGAAAAGCATATTCAAGGGTGTGTCCTTTACCCTTTCTAGGAATTGGCTAGCCCTGGGAGGGACAGTCTGTCCAGTCAGGAGTCAGCTCAGCCCCAGGGGGGAAAAGATTAGAATATGGAGAATAAAAGACAGGAGTCCTATGGGGGTGGGGGTAGTATCTCATTGTGGTCTTCATGACACTTTCATGATGCACATATGATGGCTACTCAGATAACCTCCTTTGTGAGGTGTCTGTTCAATTTTTGTACATATTTATTGGATTATTGGTCTTCCGCTTCTGGTTTTCCATTAATTCTTTATATATCTGGATGCCAGTCCTTTGTGTAAAAGTGTAGTATGACTATATTTGCCCAGTCTGTGACTTGTCTTATTAGTCTCTCAGTGTTATTCTTTTGAGTCCAATTAGCCAATCTTTGCTTTTATGGTTGGTGAATGTTGTGTCCTATGTAAGAAATCTTTGCCAATCCCACTGAAATAGTCTCCTTTGTTTTCTTGGAAGCTTTCTAGTTTATCAGCTTAGGTAAGTGTGGTGGCACAAGGGTTGGAGAGAATGGGTGGCCCAGGAGCTCAGGAGCCTCCCCGCCAGTCTGCTGTGCAAGGTCTGTATCTTCTGCTCTTCCCTTAAGTGCATCATCCTCTCTTCTTCCTTCTCTACAACAGCCTGCCAACCCTTCCCCATGGTTCTCTCCTCCACCAGCTCCTGATCTCTATGCCCCTGTGAGCATACCCTGCTCCCTTTGATGTTCTCCTCACTCAACCTCCCACATCCCAAACTGATGTTTCTTGAGCTGCAAGGGGACCTGAGTGCTACCAGTTTCTGAGCTCACTTTCCTCATTATGCATCATGGTTGTGCCTTGTGGAGAAGAGTAGCCACCATTGGTGGGCCAGGCACAAGCCTCAGGTTAACTTGGATCCCTGCAACCCTGGCCAGTGGGAACTGTCTTTTCCAGTTCCTAGTTGAACAGAGGCTCTAAGAGGTTAGCTGTGCATGCTTCCCCTGCCTGCATTGCCCTCGGCTCAGGAGCCTCACCCTCAAGGCCCCATGCTGGGGCAATCCCTCAGAAGAGAGGTCTAGGATCACACTACCTGGGTCCCTCCATCTTTTAGCCATGTGACCAGGGCCACTGAGTACAGTTGGACAGGTTGTGGGCTGCACAAGGCATTCAGTAGAGAGGGCAAGTGGGGGCTAAAGTCCAGCCCACCCCACAGACAATGCCCATCTGGAGGGCTGACTCTCAGGCACCTTATGGGTCAGCAGTGCCTTGCAGGTGACCTTGAGCAGGTAGCCAGTTCTCTAAGCTGCATGTTCTTCATTTGCCAAATAGACATCAAGTGTTCAGTATGAGCCACAGGCCTGGTGAGTGCTTTGGTTGTTACTGTGGCCCTTCCTCTGGGAAGTCCTCCGGGGTTCCCCCTCTGGGATCCCACAGAGTCCTGCACTTACCACCTTTCCCTGTCACATAGATCAGAGCCTGGAGTCAGGCAGGCCTCAGCTTGGGTTCTTATGGGTGGGGCCCAGATGCCTCTGGCTATAAGCCTGCCCCACCTGCTTCTCAGCCCCCAGAACCAGCACATCCAGGGCAAGGGCCCAGGCTGAAGGAGGCCAGGAGGGCTGATGAAAGCAGGTTTGGAAGTCGGTTGAGGTTAGGTCCCCTCCAGCAGGGCCTCCCAGGTCCCCACGCTGAGTGCTCAAAGCTCATAGTTTTCCCCGCAACCCTGAGGGTCAACCCAGGATAGTCCCTGCCCCTGTGGGGTTCTCAGGGTCAAGCAGAAGTGACTTCAAGTATCATAGGATAGCTCTGAGTAGGACCATCAAGGAAAGTGCCAAGGGCAAATCTAGATAGGGGAGGTGGGCAGAAAAGGCCCTGAAGGTTGTTCTTAGAAAAAGAATGGTAAATGGGGCGAGGCAACTCTAGCAGTGGGAGTGGTGTGTGCAAAGGTCCTGAGGTAGGGTCAGCAACCAGAGAAACAGAAAGAGAGCTGGTAGGAACGGGCTGAGTAACAAGGGGTAGCAGAGGGAGGTGAGGGGGCAGTAAGGGTCCTATAGGCTCCAGGAAGGAGTCTGAGTTTTATTCTAACTGAAATGACATGAACGAATTGAATTTTGAAACCCTCCCCTGACTGCTGTGTGACATGTATGGGGCCAAGAAGGAAACTAGTGCCCTCTCCAGGTCAGCTGGTGGGAGGAGAAGGGGAGGCTTCCCCATTGAGGGTAAAGTAAGACCACCACTAGACCTCTGCCCCCCAGGCTGGGCAGCAGTGCCCTGACCCCACATCTCTCTGCAGGTCAAGCTCTATCTCCACCATGTATGAGGATCCAGACAGCGACGGGGAGGTCAGTGGCCCCGCTCTGGGTGGGGCTGCAGAAGCTAGTCCCCCTGTGCTGCCCAGCCAGCCTGCACACGTGGCTCTGGTTGCAGGAGCTGGAGCTGTACTTCACAGATCCTCAGCAGCTCCTGGACATCTTCATGAAGCTGGAAGAGCAGAACCTCTCGCTCATCCAGAACACACAGGAGATGGAGGAGGCCCTGGATGATCTGAATGTCACCCTGAAAAACACCCAGATCCGCATGTAGGTCTCCTGCTGGGGCTGATTGGGTGGGGGGGGGGGAGAACTTTCTGTCACTGGCTGTCATCCTGGGACCCCCATAGCCACTGGGAGCTGAGCTGTGCAGCCACCCATCTGCCCATCCAGGGCTCCGGCCCTGCACTAGCTTCCACTTTCTGGAAAGCTCCACTGGAAGCCTGACTCTAGGAAGAGGTCATGCCCTGTTGGGCAGGGGAGCTGGGAGGGTGGAGGGTGGGAAGAGGTCAGGTAGGTGGAGACACATGGGGCTTGTCCCATCTCCACCCAGAGCAGCCTGCAGCCAGCAGGAGGCATCAAGGAGTTCCCACCCAGGGGCATTCTGCTGACACCAGGCTCAGCAGGGCTGGGCCATATCAGGCTGGGGCACTAGGTGAGGCTGATCAGGAGCAAGGAATCATCCCTTCACACCCAAACAAGGGGTGAGCTCCTATTCTGGGTCAGGCCCAGGTCAAGGTTCTCCAAGGATAAGCAAGGCCTGCCTCATGGAGCTGATATTTGATGGAGACAGACAGGCCCACAGTTGTGACTTGTAGATGCGACATGTGCCAGAGGAAAATAGACAGTGATATGAGAAGGAGACTGAAGTGGAGGGAGAGGGCAGGGTTCCAGGGGAAAGCATCATTTGACCCGGGCACTTCCTGAGCATGGGAAGCTGCACAGACATCTGGTAGAAGAGGGTTCCAGGCAGAGGTAAAGCAGGCGCAAAGACTTAAGGTGGAAGCCAGCCCAAGGCTTTGATGCCCCCTAGGAAGTCATGTTCTTGAGTATCCATGTCTTGTTGGCTCACATGCTGCCATGGAGAATTTCCTGCCCAGAGTCTCCTGCAGGTGATGCAAAACCACCAGCTCGCTCAGGCAAGACTGTGCCTCCTAGAAAGCTGGGAGTCACCCTGAAAAACACACAGATCCACATGTAGGTCTCCTGCCAGGGCTGACCGGGTGGGGAGAGGGGAGGGTTCCATCACTGATGTTTTTCAGGGTGACTCTCTTCCATCTCAGAGAGAGAGAGAGAGAGAGAGAGAGAGATGAGCTGGGGAGATGCAGGCAGCCTCCTAGGTTCCAGGAACCTGGCAACAGAACACACACACATACACACATGCAGAGCAGAATCCTGGAGATGAGCTCCAGTTGCTGGTCTTTAGCCAGCTGAGCTGTCCCTGAGCACCAGTACTTTATTATTTCCAGGAGAGTCATGGTCCATTAACTGTCATAAACTCATCTGCCCTATCTGGGCAAGAAAAGAAAAGAAGATATATATCTATATATCTATATATCTATATATCTATATCTATCTATCATCTATCTATCTATCTATATCTATCTATCTATCTATCTATCTATCTATCTATATATATATACTTTTCTGAATAGGCCTGGATCGAGGAAATCAAGCCAATTTTTTATTATGTTATGTTGGTCACCATACAGTATGTCATTGGTTTTTGATGTAGTGTTCCATGATTCATTGTTTGCATATAACACCCAGTGCTCCATGCAATATGTGCCCTCCTTAATACCCATTACTGGGCTAACCCATATCCTCACCCCCCTCCCCTGAGCCAATAATTAATAACCTTCAAAACAGAAAGCACCAGACCCAGATGGGTTTACTGGCAAATTCTACCAAATATTTAAGGAAGAAATTTTGCCAATTCCCTACAATCTCTTCCAAAAGATAGAAACAGAGGGAATACTTTCTAACTCATTCTGTAAGACCAGCGTTAACCTAATTCCAAAACCAGGCAAAGACATCACAAGAAAAGGAAATGACAGACCAGTATTTCTCAGGGACACAGATGTAAAAATCCTCAACAAAATATTAGCAAATTGAATGGAACAATGTATAAACAGAATTGTACATCATGATCAAGTGGAATTTTTCCAGGGTATGCAAGGCTGTCTCAGTGTTTGAAAATCAATTAATGTAATCCATCATGTCAACAAGCTAAAGAAGAAAAATTACATGATTATATCAATAGATGCAGAAAAAGCATTTGATAAAATCTAACACCCATTCATAATAAAAGCTCTCAGTTAAGTAGGAATAGAGAGCTTTCCACTAAGATCAAGAACAAAAGCAGGGATGTCTTCCTCTTTAGTTTTCTTTCAGTTAGCAAAAACAGGTACTAATGAAGATGTTTCATAAAAGGGAAGTGGCGTAATACAAAGTTTAGAAAAGCAGGAATACCTGTTATACAGATGGGGAAGAAAGAAATAAAGCTTTTTGGCAGATGACATGTAGAGAATCTCAAAGAATCAACTAAAAACTCCTGGACTAGTAAACCATTATGGCAAAGTTACAGAATACAGAGTTACTAGACAAAACTTCATTTCCTATGTACCAGCAATGAACAAGTGGAATTTGAAGTTAAAAATATAATACCATTTTCATTAGCACCCTCAAAAAAGAAATGCTTACATATAAAACTAACAAGGGGCACCTGGGTGGCTCAGTTCATTAGGCATCCAACTCAGCTCAGGTCATGATCTCAGGATCATGAGATCGAGCCCCGATTTGGGCTCCCCTCTGAGCATGGAACCTGCTTAAGATTCCCTTTCCCTCTCCCTTTGCCCCTCCTTGCCCCTGCCCCACTTGCTCAATATCTCTCTCTAAAAAATAAAATAAAATAAATTAAAAAATAAAACTAACAAAATATGTACAAGATTTATATTAGGAAAAATGCAAAATTATGATGATGGATCAAAGAATTAAAAAGAGCTAGTTCATGTTTATAGGTAAGGAAATTCAGTATTGTCAAGATATCAGTTCATCCCAACTTGATCTATAGATTTAACACAATCCCAATGGAAATCCCAACTAGTTATCTTGTGGATACTGACAAACTGATACAGAGAGACAAAAGACCCAGAATAGCCAACACATTATTAAAGGAAAAGAACAAAGTTGGAGGACTGACACTACCCAACTTCAAGACTTACTATGAAGCTACAGTAATCAAGCCCTGTGTTATTGGCAAATAAATTAGTGGAACAGAATACAAAGCTCAGAAGCAGACTCACATAAATATAGTCAACTAATCTCTGACAAAGGGGCAAAGTCTATACAATGTAGCAAAGATAGGCTTTTCAAAAAAAAATGGTGCTGGGACAACTGGACATCCACAAACAAAATAATGAATTGAGACACAGACTTTACATCTTTCATAAAAAAACTAGCTCAAAGTGGATCATCGACCTAAGAGTAAAATGCAAAACGATAAAACTCCTGGAAGATAACATAGGAGCAAATCTAGGTGACCTTGGGTCTGGTGATGTTTAGACACAATCCCAAAGTGATAAACTAGATTCTATGAACATTAACAATTCTGCTCTATGAAAGATAAGAGAATGAGAAGACAAGTCGCAGGCTGGGAGAAAATATCTGTGAAATACATATCTGATAAAGAACTGTTATCCAAAATATACAAAGAAGTCTTAAAATTTAACAATAAAAAATAAATAATATGATTAAAAATGGGCCAAAGACCTGAACAGACACTTCATCAAAGAATAGATAAAGATGGCAAATAAACATATGAAAAGATATTCAACATCAAAGTCATTAAGGAATTGCAACTTAAACCAATAAGATACTACTATCTACACCTATTACAATGGCCCAAATCCAAAAGACTAACAGCACCAAATGCTGGTGAGGATGCAGAACAACAGGAACTCTCATCCATGGCTGGAGGGAATACAGAATGGGACAGCCCCTTTGGAAGACAGTTTCTTACAAAGCTAAACATACTCTTACCATATGATCCAGCAAGCACACTCCATGGTATTTACCCAAAAGAGTTAAAAACTTATGTCCACACAAAACCTGTACATAGATGTTTATGGCAGCTTTGTTCATAACTGCCAAAACTTGGAAGCAACAGAGATGTCCTTCGGTAGGTGAATGGATAAACAAACTTGGCACATTCCAACGAGGGTGTATCATTCAGTGCCAAAAAAAAAAAAAAAATGAGCTATTGAGCCATGGAAAGACAGGGAGGAATCTTAACAGCATATTACTAAGTGAAAGAAGGCTATTTGGAAAGGCTACAACTGTATGTTTCCAGCTGTAGGACATCCTAGAAAAGGAAAACTATGGAGATGATGAAAGAACTGGTGATTGCCAGGGCTTGGGGGTGGGGGAGGAAGGATAAGTAAGTGGAACACAGAGGATTTTTGGGGCAATGAAATGACTCTGTATGATACCCCTAATGATGGATACATGTCATTATACATTTCTCCAAACCCATGGAATGCACAAAACTAAGAATGGACCTTCATGGAAACTATTGGCTTTGGGTGATAATTATGTGTCAGTGTACGTTCACTGATTGTAACAAATGTATGTCGATGGTGAGGGAAGGCAGGTGGGAGGAGAGAATATTTAGGAAAGCTCTGTACCTTCTGCCCAATTTTGCCATGAACCTAAAACTGCTTTTAAAGTTGAAGTCTCTATTAACAAACTTATACAACAATGAATGAGAATCTGTTTCAACATTGGAAGAAAGAGTGGCTGTATTAGAGACAACATACCAAAAAAAAAAAAAAAAATTCCCAGGATTCTTCACGGCAAAATTATTCATAATAGGCAAGAACAAGAAACAGCCCACATGCTGGGGGCACCTGGGTGGCTCAGCTGTTTAATTTCAGTTCAGGTCATGTTCTCAGGGTTGAGATGAAGCCCCACATCAGGCTCTGTGCTGCTCTATGGAGTCTGCTTAGAATTCTCTCTCTCTCTCTCTGCCCCTGTCCCTGTCATGCTTTTTTGTTTGCTCACTCTTTCTAAAGTAAATAAAATTTAAAAAAGAAAAGAAAATGAACAGCCTGCATGCCCACAGCAGGGGAGCAGACAAGCCATGTGCATGCTGTAACAAATGACTGCACACAGAGTGCCTTACAACAGATGTGTCCCCTACAGTCCTCGAGACCAGAATTCCAAAATGGGTCTTCCCAGGCTAGAATCAAGGCACCAGCAGGACTTGGTTC